TCTTTGACCTTTGCCCTTATATTATAAATTCAATTGGTCACTAACTATGTGGCTTCTTCCTTCATTAAACATCTGACTGTAGCCAAATACATCTTTAAGTCAATGGCTATTATCTGAGTACCTATTATACGGTAGGAAATGATGATATAAAGTTTAATCAGACCTGATTCTTGCTTTGAGATACTTACAGTCTAACACCAAGAGAGGCCAATAAATAAATAATCCTCTGTGCTAAGTGCTATGGTGTAAACGTGTCAAAAGTGCTGAGACTACCTAGATAATGAACCAGTTAATGATTCTCCTGGGGCTGTCAGAGGTACAGAGAGGAGGCAATATTTAAGCTGGTGTTTTCTGAAGGATAAGTAGTTCACCAGGCAGAGAGCAAGGAAAGAACATGCAAAAGAAAAAAACAACAGGAACAGGAACACACGGGTGAAAAAGTGGACTGGATAGAGTAGTTCTTTACCTGGTGTGTGCTGGGGAGTGACTGCGGTGAGGCCAAAAAGGTGGGCTACGCCCGTTATAGACTGTCTTGTGTCACCTGCCAAATAAAAAGTGTGCTATTGTTCTGTAAACCTTGAGAGTCAATGGTGGGGGGGGGTAGTTTTTTTCTTTTTTTTAGCTAAATTAATATATTTATTTAAAAATACATATGTAGTATTTTAAAAACACAAAATAGAAACAGAATCATAGATACAGAGAACAGACTGACAGAGAACAACTGTTAGAGGGGAGGGTTGTGGCAGCACCTTGATGAAAAAGGTGAAGGGATTAAAAAAAAAACAGACACAGACAAGAGTATGGTGATTACCACAGGGAAAGGGGGATGGGGGAGGTAGGAGAGGGTAAAGGAGAGGGTAGGAGAGGGTAAATGGTGATGAAAGGAGACTTGACTTGGGGTGGTGAGCACACGATGCAATAAACAGATGATGTATTATGGAGCTGTATTATTACAAAGCTTAAAATATAATCAGTAGTTTCTCTGTTCCATCTCTCTCCATCCCCAAGTCTTGCTCCCCTCTGGCATCCACTTTCCATACTTAAAGCTGTTACTTTTAGTATTTACCTCTATAGGTCAAAATAATATGGAGCATTGAAGAAATTTCATTGTGAAATCAACAAATGTCAGTATTATTGATTTTTTTTCTTTCAGATGATGCCTTCTGCAAAGAGGAATTCTGTGTCCTCCTGACCCAGGGTACAAGCCTGGTGGTAAAGTAGAGGAAGTGGACCCAGGCTTCGCTATCAGTTATGTAGACTCTGACTCAGTCACCCTACATTCTAGTTACTTGACTTTTCCCTGGTCAGTAGTCCCTGTTGCTTAACATGTCGAGACTTCTACTTATCTGCAGTTATGTCAGTCATTTACTGTCAAATAAATCATTACATTAATTTTAGCTTTATTATTTGAAGATCCCAAGTTACCTGAATTTTATATAGCAACGAGACTAACTTTCTGTTAGACAGATGAGGAAACTGAATAGAGCTGGAGTGAGGGCAAAGTCTGGTAATGCTGAAGTCTTCTAATGAGAGGTCGGTAATCTACTGTCCGTGGGACAAATCCAGTATACCTCCCATTTTTGTACAGCAACAAGCTAAGAATGGCTTATATTTTTTAAGTGGTTTTAAAAATCCAAAGATGAGTACTATTTCATGATGCATAAAAATTATATGAAATTCTAATTTTACTGCCTATAAATAAAGTTTTAATGGAATCTTACTAGACTCAGCTTTTACATATTGTCTATGGCTGCTTTCAGGTTATAACTGTGTAATTGAGTAGTTGTGACAAAAACCACATGGATTACAAAGCCTTAAATATTTACTATCTGACTCTCTTTACAGAAAAAGTTTACCAAGCCTTGTTCTATAGCAATTATTTGGGGTAATACAAAGAGCACTGGGCAGAGGATTAAGCCCAGGTAGTCTGGCTAAAGGAAATAGCCAGATCCCTAGTAGAGAAATTAGGAGGAAAGAAACTAAATGTGTTTTCTGCCCCTAGGACTTTCTTCTATTATTTCTAGTAGTTGTCATTCTTCTGGTTAATATTAAGCCAGAGAGTGTTAATACTTCTCCATGGGACTTTCCATTTCAGCTTCCTATTTCACTCTCTCATAGCATTATTGTTTATACAACTTGCCAATCAATATATATTTAATTATCTGCATACATACAAGCACATAATATGTTCCTCAAATAAATTGTAAGCTCCTGGTGGGTATGAGAGAGAGAAAAGAATGCCTCACACTTCCCCGTAGTCTTATATTTCCAAGACCTAGAACAATATCTTCATCTTAGGTACCCATATATGTTGAAGACAATGCTAATTTGCTGGGCATCATCTGCAGGGAAAAGAAAATAAATTCCTACAAAAATATATTTCCACATTTTAAGAATTCTAACAAGATAGGCTTAGATTCTGCTAAAATTATTAGATGAATAGCACAGTCTGAAAATTTGGAGAGTCCCCAATAAAGCATGCATTCTTTGGTTGAAGAGTTGACATAGAGATCTCCAGAGCTGTTGGTTTCCTTCTCTTTTGGACTCCACCCTCCCCCACCCAATGAGAGCACGGGAGTGCGGGCACACACACACATACACACACACACACCCCCCTCAATCATTCCTCTCTGACATATTCAAAATCAGAAGAGAAACTTCCTGAGAGTGAACTCAAAGTAGAGAAGAGATTTCAAATGAGCATGTGCTAAAGCAAAGAGCAAAAAGAAAACAAAATCCAAAAATACTTCCAGCCCATGCAGCTTGTATCTGTGCGTTTCACACAGGATTCTGGGGAAAGAATGAGCTGCAGTTTTCATTTCATTTAATTCAATAAGACACCCACTTGGCAGGGTTAACCTTTTCCCTCTTGTTTCCTCATTGTGACTTAGTTGATACAAATTGCTTTCATTAGGGCACTAACGGGCTTCTGGCGGGTAGTCCCAGTTGGAACCTGTTGCAATAGTTCAGTGCACAAGTGGTCAAGAGGCTGCCAGGGAAAGGAAGCAGGCTTGTAAATGATTGCTTACCGGCTCTGTATGATGGAACCTTAAGAGATCCAAACAGAACTGTAGGTTATACACCTTTTTAATCTGAGATGAAATAATCGAAGATATTCCATATATTGTATGAAGGAAACCTTGGAATATTAGACTTTAAAATATTTCTCTGGATGGACCAAGTAAGGGTAAAGTTGGAAGAAGGGGAAAAGAACTGTGCAACCCGGGCGAAGGATTGTGCAACCAGAATCAGCAGAGGCCGTCGGCTGGAGGGAGACTGAGGAATGATAAGAGGGGAAACAAACACAATTTATCACAAAGAACAACAATGACTACTTTGAATTCGCAGGATCCCTTCCCCTTCAGCGCCAGATGACTGATGACACAGAGCCACAAAACTACTGTGGAGACAGACACCTCCTAGCTTGCTTAACAAACGGCCTCAAAAGCAATGTACAGCTAGGATGTTTGCTACTGTGCTACTAATTTGGAACTCCAATGTGAGGAAATATTCCTTCAGTAGTATCAGTAACCCTTTCAAACCATAAAGCATAACAATGAGCACATTGAGCATTCTACATAATAACTCTGAATAGCCCTCATTGTTCCAACCAGGTCTAAGATTGTGAATTACAATAATGAACCTGAGAACCTGGCCTGTAGTAGACATTTCGTAAATATCTTCCAATGAACATATGAATGAACCAATAGCTTAATAACTAGGGGGTTTGGGTATGTGGCTGCACAAATCCTGACAGTGCAGAAAGAAAACAGCATATAGGACTTTGTATATATCATGAAAAAAGGCAAGCATTTTAAAGACTCAGTCCAAAGCAGAGTTGGTTACAGAATTCTGTATGAGACAATTCTTGATGAACACATTTCTACTCGTGATAAAAATATCAGCAGTTAGAGAAACATATTTGTTCATTACTTATTCAGCAGACATGACCAAATTAGTGTCTGTTCTTGTGGTTAGTCTGGCTGATGGATCCTGTTTATTAAAGAATCAATGATTTCATCCTTAGAGAGACAGGGATTTGCAATATTGCCTTGGAATATTTCTTCTATTTATTTTGCTAACATTTTGATCTTCTCTGGAATAGTACACATTGACCATGGTATGAAAACATTTCTTCTTGTCATTTTATAGTGTGAACAGTACCCAGAATTTGGAAAATATGCTATTTTACATGAAAGTTAAAGAACCTGATTGAGCACACATAGACAATTAGGGAAGAACCAGAATTACATGCCCCAAGGTCTTAATCTGCCCCTTTGTTCTTCTGCTCAGAATAATGCTTGGCATTCATTCTTTACCTCCTCATAGATACGCATCAGTAATAAATGTCCTTCTAATCTAAAAGCCACCCTCTGAAACTCCCTCTTACAAGTTTTAACAATGGTTTTGATTCTACCACTCTTTGAAAACAGTATTTTTTTTCCAAGTACCACAAAGTCAAATGTCTACAGGAGCCAGGCAGGTACAATACACAAATGAAGTAGAATGAGCGAGACGTGATGACAGGGAAGTGTCCCTCAGCCCCAGTTTCTGGGGGACAGAGGAAAACTGGAGACACAAACCCAATGCAGAGGCCCCAGTTTTCTGAGAGAGAGCAGGAATTCAGGTTTTGCATATAAGCCTTCTAAATTTCATTGTGTTTATTTTGATAACTAATTATAATGTAAAACATTGTCCAGGCCGAAGCCACAGACCAAGCCCAGCATGTCTGTGGGCTGCGTCTAGCCGGAGGGCAGCTCACTTCCCTTTCACATTGCCAGGTTGAGCTGCTGTTTGGATTGGTTTCTAGCGTATCAGCAATAATCGCATTAAGGAAAGTCTAAGAATGTTTCGGTAATGCCAACATGTATGAAACTGCACAGTCTCTCCAGAAGGCTACTCAGCAGGACAACTAATTTGAGGTTGAGAGATATGTTGTGTACTAAACACAGGCTGTGGAGCCAAGTTGCCTGGGTTTGAATTCAGGCTTTTTCACTTACCAGCTATGTATCCTTGTGCAAGAAACGTAATTTCTTCATTGCTCAGTTTCACATCTGTAAAAGAGATAATGACCGTTACCGTGACAGTTACATGAATATATTGTTCATGTGTTAAGTATATATTTAGTACTTAAAATAATATCTCCAAGTTAGTACTATTATTCACAAGTCATAGTGTTGGTGAAAAGCAGCAAAGTTACACGTCTATCTCACATTAGATAGCTACAGATACCATGAGAGGCCTCAGAAAACTTTCTTCTTCAGACAGAAAAGGTGGGAGAATCAGGTTTTCTGTGGTAAATTTCCACTATTTCATCCTTAGCACCAGATGCCATCACTTCTTGGAAATGTCACAATTGCATATTTTAATAAGTGGAGTGTATACAGCAAATACTAAAAATACTAGCGATTAATAGTATGGCAAGCTATCTTTTTATTTTCCCTTCTTTAGAGATCAACCATTTTAAAGTCAGGGACATTCTGTTCCAGAGTTGAAAGGCAGAGAAATCAAAGGACTTTTATTTTCCTCCTTTCTGGGTTAGTGAAGCATGAAACTTATTGACAGATGCTCAAGCAAGATATAAGTTGCCCTGCTATTTCATTCAAGTTCGTTTTCACATTAAATGATTCTGGAGGTTTTTATTTTTTATTTTTGAAAGGTACCCAAAATTCTTTAGAATGTCTAGAAATAAACAGATGATCCCATAACATCTATTTTACTGAAATAATCCTATGTTTTGTGAATAATAAATGACAACATGAAATTTATCTTCTGTGACACAAGCATATTTGCTCTCCAATGAAATTCAAGACACACTCTGCCCTTTAAGGATTCCATAACTTTCTTCTTTTATTTCCTGTATTCTTACTAATAAGTAAGATTCTCAGATCCACCACACTTTCATTCTACCAAACTCTCCCTTCCCAAGACAGGAGAAGACAATCATGAACTCTCAAAAATAATGCTGGTTGAATATATGAAGATTGAGGGGAACATCTACTTCCACTCCAATCTCATCAAGAGCTGCTAGGCAGGGAGGTCACGCTCATGTGAAACTCAACCCAGGAGGCAAGAAAAGCAGAAGTGCAGAGGCAGAGAATCTCTTAAGACGGAAGGAAGGCACATTAGAAATAATGGAGTCTACACACCACCACCACCCCGCTCCACTTAACAACGAAGGACAGAGCCTCAGAGGAGCGATGCACAAAATGCACGCCTGGGTACAAGAGGGGCCAAAAGCCATGCCTACTATTGTCAATTCATTAAACTATTTTTCTCTTCTAGACTGGTTGTCTCTTAAGCTTCTAGAAATATATTAACATTAGAGATTTATAACTTACAAAATTAATTGCTTTTTCTCTCACAACTGTTTCAAAACACTCAGTTTTTCTCAAATATGATTGGTAGATCACATGCATCAAAATCATGTGAAGTCCATGAAAATTAGATTCCCAAGCTCACCCCAGACCTACTGGATAGGGAGGGGATTTAGAATTTGGGTACACGCAGTTTTAATGTACAACTCAGGATTGTCATAAACAATAAGTTTGAGAACCACTGACATCCAGGGTCTGTTATGTATGTTAAAACAAGTGGAATTACTGAAATAGGAAAAAATATTACTGCTTTATTCAGAAATTGATATATTTCAAAATCTCAAACTGGCATGGTTAATCTGCTTTAAGAAATAGTTGCCTTATAAATTCTAAATGAGCTTTCACATATGTGCACTCAGTCATTTCCCTTTTTTTAAATTTAAATATTTACAGTTTATTATGTTAAATTGTATGTCAATAGAGCTGTTTAAAAAGTATATTGGAAATCCAAAAATAATAAAATAAACTGTTTAATAAATTAACATTAATTTTTACTTTATTTTTATTTTTCTATTGAGTTTATTTGGGTGGCATTGGTTAATAAAAATTATATAGGTTTCAGGTGTACAATTCCATAATACATCACTGTATATTATATTATGGTTTTTCATAGAGTGATTTTTTTCATCTTGCTTTGAATCCTGGGGAATGAGCCAAGAATGAGTCTTATTCAAAAGCCAGTGAAAGCACTTAGCTTATATTAGGTGTGAGGTGTATTTTGCTGCACTTAAAACAGAAGTACAGCTAGCATTTAATCCTGTTGTGTTTCTGAAAGGAGACTACACCTACAGGGCTAAAGCATTTCAAACCCAATGAATGGAATAGGAACTTACCATCTGTAGATAAAGTATTTGTTTCATACCATTTTCCTTTTAGATTATAATTTAACCTAAAAAGAAAAATCATAATTAAAATTAAACATTAATATAGGTTAGAGTTTAAATTGTATATTAAATTTAGAAACATGACAACTTTTGAAATGCATTAAATCAGGAAATGGCATTTCAAATAAGGAAGATCCACAGGTAAAATTCTAGAATTCTAACTTAAGTTTGGCTCCTTGCCTCATCCTGCAGCCACTATTTCCAATCTGCATCATTCAGTACAAGCTTAACACTATGTACCATATGCGTGAAAGTGGGCTTTTTGGGGGGAGGGAAGATTCTATTTTAAGATAAAAGGAATCTGTTTGAATTTAAAACAATAATGATTGGTATTATGCTAAGCTAAATACGCCAGTCAGAGAAAGACAAATACCATATGATCTCACTTATATGTGGAATCTAATGAACAAAATAAACTGATGAACAAAATAGAACCAGAGACATGGACGCATGTTACAGACTGACAGATCTCAGAGGGGAGGGGTGAGGGGAGGCCTGAATGAAAGAAGGTGAAGAGATAAGCCAAAGAACATCTATGCATGGCCCATGGACACAGACAACAGTGTGGTGAGAGCTAGAGGGAGGGGAGGGCAGGGTCTGGGTGGAGGTGGGCAAGGGGGGGAAATGGGGGACATCTGTAATAATGTTAACAATAAAAAAAACAAATATATATATATATATATATACACACACACATATATATATAAATAAAATGACTGGTAAATTCCCAAGGATGCTTGTCCAATATTTCATTACAAAGGAGCTTTATCCTTGTTTTCTGAAAATGAATATAATATTACATCGTTGTTATCTTGTTATGGTAATATCTGCTTATTACACTTCTATTATGCATAGTTCATTAGTATTATTACCACATTAAACTGAAGTTGTTTTCTCAATGACAGCTACTCCTTTTAGTCACCTAGATACCCTGTACTCTGCTACTCATGATATTTATATCTTACAGGAAATTATGAATGCATTCAGAACAATAGTCAAGATTAATTTAACAATAATCTAGAAAGATGAAGAAAGTTAAAATTATTCTTCTGAACTGTTGTCACCAGTCTAATTAAGATACTGAATATCTATAAAGTTGTTTATTATGCATAAAGTTTTCATTACTTTTTCCATACATTTCTTACATATTGACATATAAAGATATATCTATATCTAATATTGTCATGTATTTTGTTAACCATTATATTAGAATATAGGCTGGATTTCAATGATAGCTTTCTGCAAATATTTGTGAAAAGACCTTAAATAAACAAGGTAGGCCTGGTGAAATGTTTCCTAAATTTGCACTAGATTGGTTCTATCATGCTTCATCAAGACATAGCTTGAAAACAATAATATCTAAAATTCTGTTGGGAAATGACATGCAGAGAAATGCCATCTGATTGGCTGACATTTAGCAGGAATTAATGACCAATAATAACCCACCTCCCAGGAGACAAATGCAAGGAACCCTATCCTTCCATATCTGGAGTGTTAGCTGAATGCAAAGAGAGGACTTGCTGTGAAACTCTACACCTGGGACCATGTTTCTACACCTGGTCAGCTTCACACTTCTTATCAGTAATCTCTTCCTCCAAAGTCTATTCTGGGTCAAAGATCAGAACTAACATTTACTTCTATACTTAACATTCTTTGGACCCGTTTTTTACAGGTGAGAAAACTAAGTGCCTGTACTCATAACTGTAGAATATAATTGGAAGCATCTATCTTTCTTTGGTAAATATTTTGATTTATTAATCTTTTACATTTTAGTTGCAATTCTTTTTGGTAAAATATTTGCATATACATAGATATACCCTAGCATACTGAAGGTAAATAATTTAACATATTTCTCTTAGGTTCCAAATGCAGATATTTGGATCTTTCTGGGAATAAGAAGCATCCTTTCTTGTGTAGAAAAACCCAGTGACTAGTAGTGTAATATCTTGGACTTAGAAATCACTGTAGTCAATCTTAGTCAATATTCTACTTCAGAATATTAATAACCCATTATTGTTTATAAGCCCTTATCATTTTCAAATTGAGCATTTGATTATTCTAACTCCAAAGTAAGCAGAAAAGAGATTATGATCCTTACTTTAGAGAAGAAAACTGAAGGGAGGGGAACGCCAGTTACTGACTTAATATTATATAGTTAAATAATGGCAGAGCTTTGCCTAGAACCTTGGCCTTCTGATGACTCATTCAATGTTTTTCTAGTAGAATATCCCTCAAGTAACAACCTTCTGGCAGTTCAGTCTTTGTATCTCACAACTTTTATGAATTTGTTAATTTTTCCAAAAATAAACAATTCTATGGAATGCAAAACTGAAAGAAAAAAGATATGGAGCAAAGATGTATTAAGTTCAAAACCATGTCATAAACAATCACAAAAACAATACTCTCTGGAATATTTGGCTTGAGTCCTCAAAAATTTTGTAAGGCTGACCTTCAGAAGGCTAATTCTTTAACTTATAATTTTCTAATAACTGCATTTGAAACACAGAAAACCTTTACTTTTGCTAGTCTATGCTGGCTGTAGAAAGAATTGATTTGGCTACGACCACTAGATTTTGGTCATTGCCATTCTGGAGGGATTACTATAAGAAAACCTTAGTCTCAGTCAAAAATTATATCATTTAGAGCTACTTTTAATTTTTCACGATGAATACATGTAAGACCAGCATCACAATTCTTATGGAGTTACTTTATTAATCAATGTAATTTGGGTTTTTATTATTTATTATAAACTCATATAGTTAAAAAGCAAGTCAAAATACTGTGGGAACATGAGTTTTTTCTCTGTCATTTACAAAGATTTTCTGTAAATGTAATTTAAAAAGATTTTTTTTTAAATTTATCTTTATTGTTGAAAGTATTACAGATAA